TCATTCGTTTCGCTTAGCGACTGTGTTGCGCGTCCCGTCCTACCTCTTCGCGGCGGAGTCCGATCTCGGCGCGGCTGGCGCCGACGCGCTCTGTTCGCCCGTCTCGGGTTTTCGGATGCGGCGACTGCGTGAGAGGGCGCCGCCGGCGCGTCTTGTCGTTTGCGTAGCGGCGCCGTGCCGACCGTCGGCTGCCTAGCCGGTCCGTTGTCGTGTCTCTTCTGCGGCGGCCGCGTCGTCCGGCCTGAGTGAGACGGCTGTTGGAGTTGTTGCGAGCTGTTTGGTCTTGTTACGTTACGAACATCTTGTCTTGCGCTAGTTGCCGTCGTTCCGGGCGTACGGCGTCGCTGGAGCCGGTGCTGTGTGGGCGCGGGGCGGGGCGGAGCGAGCGTGGACGTAGACGTTGTTCTCTCGTACATGTCGCGCGTGTCTTGCAGTGGTGCGCGTGTTGACACAGCTGGCATAGGGTTTGCCTTCTCAGCGCGTCGCTGGTAGGTCCGCAGCGGTGGAGTGCGGCCCGGCTCGGCAATCGTACGGGTCCCGTCAGCACGGGAAACGCGCTTGCCAGCGCCGTAGACAGTACATATGAGATGTGGATGGTAAGTATTGTCGCTTGTAATTATGGCTCCTGGCCTGGTGGTCCAATTATAAAGGTGCTGTTGTCAATCCGCGTGTGGTTAGTGGATAGTATATAATGATAGTAGGGTATTAGGGCGGGGGGGGGGTGCGACGGTATAGTAGGGGCAGGTAGGGGGGGGCAATACATATAGATGAGGGAGGTGATGTAAGCGAAACAGGGCAGGGTCCTGATAAGGACAGTATCGTGTAAGGAGTGAACGAATAGTGGGGGCCAAGCGAGTCGTGGTATAGAAGAGGGAGAACGCGCTGGAGCAGGATGGAATGGGCAGCGATATAGGAGGTTATATATAGTAGTAGGTGTTAGGGGTAGTAGGGAGGTATAGAATAGAGGTATGTGGGCGCGAGTTAGTGTAGTAGCATGATATTATTATATCGGGCGAGGGCGGAAGTGTCGGGAGGGCAGCACAGTGGTGAGATAGATAGAGTGTAAGGACGGCGTGCGGGGGGCAGGTGGAGCAGGCAGTGTGGGGGCAGGTGACGGACACTATCAGTGCAGGATGATATATGGAGTATTGGTCGAAATGGTTATGAAAATGATATACATATATTATATATATCTATATATGAAAATATACATTTTATTTACTTATTCTATAAATACATATAGCGGGGGGGGATGAGATAAGTGAGTATCAGAGTGGACGAGGATGTGGAGAGTAAGAGACTGAGGGAGGAGATTGCGCGAGTATTCACTCCTGGATTGTGAGTCAGTTAATGAGTATAGGGTGCAGAGGCGTACTTAACTGGCAGAGGGGGGACGGAGGGGGGTGCTAGAGCGCTGTGCTTCCACTGGTTTCTCTCGTAGCCGTATGCGTGAGCTCGCGTCGGTGTGGTAGGGCACTGGTGCATCTCGCGCGTGACGGTGCTATCTCGCGGAGGGAGCTTTAGGCGGGCTCGGGCAGCGCGTCTGCAGCGTGTGTATCTGTGTGATGCATGCTGCGGTGCTGACGTGGTCTGTGGGGTTTGTGGGTGGGCTAGTGTGTTGCTGCTGCGTGGGGGGGGGGGGGGGGCGGGCGAGCGTAGGATCTTGCAGTGCGTGATGCTCCTATTGTCTGACAGGCAGCTTAGTCTGACTGCGTGTTCGCTCGCCTTGCTGTTACTATGCTAACAACACATGCTTTATTATTGTGGGTATGCGGAGGTGTATAAGATATGATGGCAGGAGTCGGAGACAAAGCAGACTGAGTGTAAGGAGAGGTTAGGAAATGAGTAGAGGTAATTGGGTAGAGGCAGAGAGAGAGAGAGAGTGGTTAGTTTGTGTTGTGAAGATGCAGTGAGATGATAGAAAGCAGGTTATAGTAGAAGACGAAATGAGCAGAAATAGCGGGGTGAATCGAAGGGAACACCCCCCCCACACACACACACGCACGCATCTCTTTTTTTTTTGTGTTACATTTTTGTTTTTTGTCGTTTTCGTGTTTTCTTTTTGTTTTTTTTTGTTTTTTGTAGTGCTGGTTCTCTCATCTCAGCGAACACCGCCTTGGCGTAGCGGCAGACGCAGGTCGCTACGCTACCTGTGGGCTACGAACTATCATGGGTGGGGTGTATGTTTGCTTGGGGCTGGGCTTTTGTGAGGCGGGGGGTGGTCACCGACGGAGCGAGGGGCAGCGAGGGCGTGGCACACTTCGACATTTTTTTTTTTCACAGCTGATGTTACGTGGTGGTTTTACTCTGGTTTACTGTTTGGCCTTCTAATACTGGTCGCTCTCGTTCCCTCCTACGTTCTGCATTGTTTTGCTCACGCTTGATTTCCGTCTCAAGATGGTTGGCACTCCTGTCGGCGTAATCTCTGCCTGCTGACCTCTGCGTCTTTGTCGTTGCCTGCTGTTTCTTTTTTTTGCTGATTGCCAGCGTGCTCCCGCAGCAAGGCGTGCTGCCGGTGGTGCGAGCTGAGGGGCGAGGGGCCGCCTGGAGAAAGGGAACATTGGTGGCCTCTTTGGTATGCTTATCGGTTTGGGTGCGGATCTTTCGTGTGCCGGCTGAGTGGGGACACGATGGTGGCTCCGACCTTGCAATCATTCACGGCGCGCGTTATAACACGCAGAACGTGCGAAACTCAACTAAACAGTAAGCACAGGCAAGCGGGTCGCCGCCGTCGTCGGCGGTGCAGGCGAAGCTTTTGGAGACGTGAACGGACATTTTTTGGGCACGGGCCACTATTGCGTGGCTGCGCGGCCGACACACGAAATTAAAACACGTCCGCTCTTAAATAAACTGGCAACGGAGAAATAAAATACGTAAATAGATTTGCTCGTATTTGCTCTCAGGCAGCCGTAGAAGAGCGGTAAAACAAACGACATGCAATATAGATCTTTATTTCCTCAAAACGCATGCATGTACACACATGCGCGCGCGCGCCCACCCACACACGCACCACGGCCAACCGCACGCACGCACCCACACACACACACACACACACACACACACACACACACACACACACACACACACACACACACACATATATATATACACAAATAAAGCGATAAAAATGCAGCATACAGCGAGTTCAAAAACTGAAATGTAGCAAGTCCATAACACAGCCAGAAACACGAGATATTACTGATGTCAAACATGGAAGAACGGCAATTTGGAACGCTCCGATAAAACACATTCGGCGTCGGAATATCAAAATCGACACAACGAGAGAGGTAGACGAGTTTACCGGCTAGTAGAAAGACGGATGATCGGGGGAACACACGGGCATGTGAACATCACTTTGACATTTAACGCTAACTGATGTTACACGAGGCACTGGAATGGAAGACATCAGACGCTGTACGGGTACACCGCACGCAACCTGCCCATGCCGCGAAGGCTGGGGCGAAGAATCCAAGCTGTTCAATCCGAATGAACTCAACAACAGGACGACATCGAACACTAATGAAAAACAGCGTTGCAGCAGACTAAAAACTAGACTAAACGTGGAATCAGCGAAAATAGGCTGTGCATGTAACATATGTTGGCAGACATCTCTCAAAGACGAACGCCAATTTATGCTTACTAAACTATTAGCGCAGGGGGGAGAGAACGCACAGACAACATCCAGTGAAACACACAGACAGTGATACAGATGTCACCGCGTGCAAAATGCATAGGAGGGACGAAGGAATAACGAGTGAGCGTAGCGCGCGCGAGTCGTGGATCTACGAGAGAGAGAAGGTTCCGTAATCTCTATAGAGAAGCGACGGATCTAGAAGAGGGAGGAGGTGGCGGAGGCCGCGCACGGGAGACAGAGATCCGAGAGATTGCGAATGAGACACGTGGCCAGCGTTGTTAAGCCTGCAGGTGGAGAGGCGGGTGGCGGCGGAGGGCAGGAAGTGCTGAAAGAGTCGCACCACCGTCGACCTAGAGTCCTTCGACCAGGAAGCCCGCTGCCTCCCGATTTGCATCTGTAAGTGACAACGTGCAACACGTGCGCATGATGCAACATGTTCTGCTTGCATCTATGACAAATACGACATACGCATATACGCTCTCCTATGACACTATTTGTCAGAGGAAGATTCTTCCTATGACAAATATTGGCGAGTTAACTTCGTTCCGCTTTACAGCTGAAATTCACTGCTTGCGTTCATAATAGCGCTCCTAAACTCCTATGATGCGCACGACGCATACAACAATATTTGTCATAGGAAGAATCTTCCTATGACAGATGGTGTCATAGGAGAGCGTATATGCGTATGTCATATTTGTCATAGATGCAAGCAGAACAGGCTGCATGATCACACCGTATACCAAAACACATGAAAAACTTTCGCGTGTGTTCCGTGGTTCGGGGGAGGGGGGGTAACATCTCATCTTCGCGACCTATCTTTTATCCTTATCGTTTTTATTTCTTATATCTTTGTTATTTTTTACATCGTACATCGTTTATATCTTTTATCTGTCGCTGATCTTTCTTTGTCTTTCAAGTCACAAAGTCGGCAAATTCTGATCGCACGTCTCATAGAGTGTTCGCTCGCGTTGCTTGGAGGAACAAGTGCACACAATTTGCATACTTCTAGTAAACGTCCCCCTGCGACGCCGGTACTGACGAGGGTTTGCCGTAAACTTTATTGCAGAAATAGCCGACTGAGCTGAGGTCGTGAATGAGGGCTACTGAATATGAGGGAAGCCACTGGTCTCGTGCTAAATTAATTTTGGCGCGAAGGCAGATTCGCAAAAACTTTACGGTTAAAAGTCTAACGGTTCAGCTCATGAATGGTGATAACCACATTTTGGAACACTTGGTTTCTTTCGAAGTTTTTGCAGTAGCAACGGCAGCAGCAGCCACCGCCACCGCCACCACCAGCAGCAGCAGAAGTAGTAGTAATAGTTTGGCAGGCTGCCGCTGTGCTTTGTCACATGTAGTAGACACTCACGGACTCTAGCAGATCCGTCGCATGTTTCAGCTGCTCCAACTCCGTGGGTCGTTTGGGAAACTTTGGCGGTACGTCGCCGTTGTTATTGTTGGGACCGCTGACTGTGTTTAACGCATCGGAGGCGTCACCCGCTGCAACAAATCAATCCACATCCATGTTTACATGCAACTCGCGCACGCACGCACACACACGCACGCGCGCGCGTACACACACACACACACACACACACACACACACACACACACACACACACACAACACACACCACACACTAAACAAACAACACGAACGCACATGCACTTCACACGCGGCGCCACGCAACGCAGCACCATTCTCACCTAGCGGAGGCTTCGTGGTCCGTTCGTACTCGTTCAGTGCTCCGATTTCTCTTAGCTGGCGGCGGCGTCGGTCGCCTGTCGTCGGCTGGCGACCGGAGCGTCGGCATGCGCTGCGGCGACGTGCTGCGCGCCTCAGGCATTGTGGACAAACCTCGATAACGCCTGGCCGACGGTTCGCGACGATCCGCAGTCGCTTGCGACTGCAAACGCAACACCACAGACGACGCATGTTAATGCAATGTAACACAACGCACGTTAATCAACACACACACACAGGCGACACACGTCTAATATATCAGGAGTACTCATCGCGGATTCAAGCGGGTAGCGCAACCCGCCCCCCCCCCCTATTTCTTTGCCAAACAACAAATCTTTTGTATCCTAATGGTTGTGGCGTGAACTTGTCTAATTTCATGGGCAATCTCTTCCCATTGTGTAGACTTTCAAAAATACGAAGGCAAGAAAAGTAGTAAATAAATTAAAAACTTTTGAATCATATCCCAAATTTTTCAAATTTACATCTACGTGCTTGATATATATATATATATAATATATATATATAATATATATATATATATATATAGCAGTCTGTGTAGCGTTATACATATAGAAGAGTCAACATATAACTACTGTATAAATAAATATATAAATAAAGAAAGAAAGAAATATATATATATATATGTCAAAAGTACATAATAGAGATATATAGATATAGTGGTTATACAATTATGTTGACTGCTCTCCTATACTCTGACCCTGAGGCGTCCTTTGTTAATATGTAGGCACATTAGTGAGCCGCTGTTGCCGTCGCATTAGTGACTTGCTACTGATGGCGCGCCGCAGTTTCCACACGCGCGTGCCCACACAAAAGACTTGATTGAAAGAGTCGAGCAATGAGGACAGGTGCATCGATTCTGTTTGGTGAATGTGGTGTTGCGTGTCGCCGTGATGGGATGCTAACGGTCCAAGCATTACAGCTATGAGCCACGCGCCATAGCCTCTAACATCATAGCTCTTTGGCTATTAGTTGCCGAGTTATTAATTAGTGCTTATATATGTGCTGTTCTTGCATGCTACGAAGACATCTGGAAATAATATGATAAGAATATGATTTATGTATTCTAATAAACGAAAAAATAATTATGCAAAATAAATTGCAAAACAGTAAATAATAATAAAAAAATGTAATTAGTAGTTGGGAAACAAGTTAATATTCATGTTAACGTTAGGTATAACGATAATATCAGGAGTAAATAATCACAAATAATACAATTTGTGATTATTTACTCCAGCTGTATAAGAGATAATAGAGAAAAAAAGTAAAAAAAAATACAGGTAATTCAAACACCATTTCCCAGAAGAAAATCCTACTTCTACCTAAACTTTTACTAAACTGTCTACATTGCCAAATTCTACGACCAAAGCTTACTAAATTATATATGGTAGGTATATTATAAGTATACCAATACTAAATTAATAAATTTATGTTTGGATTAAAGCGAAATATTTTCAACGAGCCAGTTTGTGCCGATTAAGCTATGAACGTACTACCTCCAGCTCTGCATCAAAGAAGCCATTCTCGTTTTCTCCAGGGATGCCAGCCTCAGCCTCCGCATCACATGCCGTGACGTCACTCACAAACACGATCGAGTAACACATAGGCATAGTTGACACAGCACTCGCGCGCAGGTTTAAATGTATATATATATATAGTTAATACACGGCCATGTATATCAGCTATGACGTATTCAGTACAGAAGATTTTTCACGTATTGCATTGTTGGCGAGCGGGCGAGAGCGACTGATGTACAAGCGAGACAGAGCCTTCACGCGAAACCCTCAATAATCAGCACCACGTCCATGGTCGATGCATCCTTTAATCGCAACACGTTCACGTTAAATTAAATTTACATCGATCGCCGTACATTCGCTTCACACAACAGCATATAGTGCAGTCGTCGGGATCCACAGACGCATCCTAAACTACAAGTGGAGAGGAGATTGCGTACACGCACGAGCCTGCCATTCACACAGACACACAACCGCGTGCACGTCGGCAGAGAGATATGCTACAAGTGTGCACGTGTGTATTCATGTGTGTAGAGAGCTAGAATTCACATACCATCCCCCTCCTCCCTCCCTACCGTAGCAACAGTCCGATGCTATTTCTGGGCCTCAGCCTCCTGCGAGGCACGTGCGTAGGCGGCGGGTTTAGCGGCTGATGCTTATCAGTTTAAAGCCGTCATCGGTAGCGCATGTGCGATTGCGTACGCCCGTGGCTAGTGACCCGTAGTCGCAGCTGGCTTCCGCCTGCACGCAAGATGCTGTTACTTATTTCAGCGGCTGCTGCTGCTGCTGCTGCTGCTGCTGCGGATGATACTCAGATACGAAGCTGTGATCCCGAGCTCGCGAAAGGCGCTTCTCTTAGTCATGCGACCGCAGCGATAATGAGTAGCAATGCGTATATATAAAGAGTTGGCAGGCAGGCGAAATTCATGCGAGCATGGAGAAGTTATCCGTGTCTAGTCCTGTCTTAGACCAGTTTGTGCGTCGGGAATTGATATATATATATATATATATATAATACGATAAACGAAATGTCTGTGCCTGAGTGCCGGATCTCCTTTTAAAATACCATGCAACCATACGGGGCACGGAGATTGGCACCTGCATGCCAGATCTGATTTTAGGCTAAGGAAATCATCATTTACGACGACAGAATTTGTAGAAACACGGAGGAACAGTAATTAGCTAACAGTTTACGCCATGTTTGTTGCCATAGTTTCTGTTGAAACGTGTGCATAAATCTTAACTTTGGTCGCAAAGGCAACCCATCAAATGATGGGTTACCCACTATACATTTTCCATTCCGCACATTATATATATATAT